CTTCCCTTGGGAATGAAATCTCATTCCTGCTGATTTTAATTCTCATTCTCATTCCTGTCTGAACGAAACAGACTATATGAATATACCACTCCGATTCTGACTGTGAACCAAACGGACCCAAGTTTTATCCCCTTCACTGACAATATTAATAACACTAACACCCACCTCAAGCGCAAGCTTAAGGCCTCCCTCTAACCAATCATCATCAACTGCATGCCAAATATTCACCTCATTTGGTTATCTATCAACCTTCCACCATGTGATTATCCACCACTCCTCACTCATCTTTGGACACAGTCCAATCTGATTTTTAGAGAAAAGCCAAATTCGTCAGAGTTCAGACTTACAGGACTGGATAATTTCAGGGCTGGCCTAGAATCAAGGTCAAAGGAGCCAAACTAACTCGTTCCAAAATCTGATGATTTAGGGCAATCTCTTCAAAATTTCTTGTTTGGATTCATAATTTTCTTCTAGAGTTCAAGCTTATCTTTAGAGCTGAACCAATAACTTTAAAAGGAGCGTTTTACTTTTTTCCAAGCTTTCCAAAAAGAGTTGGCAACCCAAATCACATACACAGACATACGCCATCTTCAAGCATCCACAGAGCAAGTAAGCACACGCAGGAAGATATGTGCAAATATACCTGCTTAAGATTGATCAAGTATGTGTTTGGTTTTATCGAGAGAATAGTTCTCAGATAAACGCTTATTGCTTTTGTTGTTAATTAGGTTGGGCATTTTACGGGAGTTTCAAGTAACACCCACATAATTAAGCATTTCGTTTCAAGAAACGCTCAGGTGCCGGGGGGAAAATGAAAGTTTGACGTTTTTTCAAATGCCCCATGTACAAAAATCCGAACATTTTTATTTATGTAAATAGGATGAAACCAAACAGTGGTTTCAAACATAATAAATGCCAATGGTTATGTAGTGCGTTTTTTTAATAAACACCCAGAGAAGCAAACATGACACGAGTACAGGAGTACTTGAAATCAGAAAAAGAAGAGTAATTCCCATAAATGACACTTTTTGTCTGCGCCAAAACTCATTTGCAACGCTTACGGTTCTGCCCTTCTAATGGTATAATGGTAGAGATGCACAAGATTCATACTTCGTAGTAGGTACGTATCATATGACATTTTTGAACCCACTGATATACTAATAACCTGTTTGGGAGGGCTTCTACATTAGATCGATTGAGCTATTGTCGTTGAGGCATATGTGTTTCACATAAATTACCTGGAGTAGATTCAGTTTACAGTCATGTTTCTTGCGCTTGGTGCGTCAATATTGGCTGTAAAAACATGCATTTTAGTGTCTTATGACTTGCATAATCTTCAGTTTTAGTAACTCTATACACAAAAACATGCATTTTAGTGGATTATGACTTTATTTGAAGTGTAATTTCGCCATTAAAATAGGATGTATAAACTATTGGAATATCCCAAACAAACATTGGTACAAACATGAAAAGCTTAACAAAATAATACTATAAATCTCATTAATGATCCTGTAAAATGTTACCAAAAATCTCTTAAATGAAATAGTTAAGATTATAGAGACAAAAACATTCAAAGTTGGTTTGATTATGGCTAAAGACCTAGGTGTTTGCAAATGAATATTTTCTGTATGTTAATAATTTAATACTCATGGATGTAAGATGGCTGCTTATCAATGCTGGTTTAACAAGATGTTATGAAGTGGCCTAGTGGTTGGAATACTCCTATTCCAAGTGAGCAACCTAGGTTCAAATAATCCTTATAACAGCTTAGTTTTATACTAGTTTTAAATATACTTGAATGGAATTAATTGTGTTAATTATGAAATGAAAATAATTTTACATGTGTGTTAAATAAGGTTGGTTATGGAATCAGTTATGTTAAAGAGTCAATTATTGTGAATTTGATGGGCATCAAATAAGGTAATTGAATTTGAATTTATCCTCAAAAATAAAATAATAATAATAATAATAGTAGTAGTAACTACTACTACTACTAATAATAATAATAGGCAATGTTTTAAAAACCGATTCAAAAGCAAAAACCGTTTTTGCCTCCAAGTCCCGATCAAACAGTTCATTGTATGTGTGTGTGTATGTGTATAAAAACATATTTTATCAATATATAAAATATAATTATATTCTACATATAATATAAGTATTATTTTATATTTAATTTATATTTTTTTAATTCAATTTTTAATTTTTTTATATGTGAAAGAATTCTAAAAATTGCGATTTAAGACCTGATAGCTATGTTTATAACCCTAGCAAGTGCACCAGTTATCAAGTAGTATAAAAATATCATTCCCACGATGATTTAACAAAATAAGTATTAGAACTATAGCCTTCCCTAATTATTTGGACAATCGAATTTCAGATTTAAGAGTAAAAACTATTGAAAAGCAGAAAAAGAAATAAGAGTAAGAGTACCAATACTGAAGTATGCTACGATGAATAGCAATAGATGAGATTATCCAAGATAATTTGTCATTCCCATAAGCTGAATTTTTTTTCAATTTTATTTAATATTCTTTCTCAAGATATATCTAAACTACTTCTATCAGGTAACCCCTCGATCTCTCGACTAGAGTTTTCAAGATAAAAATGCATTAAGTTCAAGGAAAAACTATTACATTCAGATGAATCATGTGTATATACTCCTATATACCATTCAACTCACACCATGAATTATTTGGTCTATTATATGAATTCCTCTCTCGATTCATTCACATAAACCTAATCAATTAAGAGATGGTCACTCCTAATAGCATTAAGCAAGATAACTCATAGACTATATGGAAATCACGATCTTGGAAAAATCAGAATTTAAATATATTCATTGTTATGATTAGGCTTTCCACAGTCCTACCTATAAATAAATCAGTTCATACTATAGGAAATAAAACAAACAAGAGGAAAGAAAGAACTCGTGGTGTTACCCTTAAAGCTGAGATTTTCTCTTCTCCTTGCCGCCACCTCCTTCTTGCAGTCTTCTTGCTTAATAGATTGGTTGCTCCTCCGCTTCCTTCTTGATACCTCTCTAATCCGCCCCCATCCCTTTATATAAGTTAAAGGAAAGGGGGTGGTCTCCAACTCCTTGAAATTTATCTTTCAAAAATAGAAAGTCCTAATCTAATCCTACTCTTATCTCTTATCTAGTAATCTCAATCTATTTATCTTTCTAGGATTACATCACAAATTTAAATATGATAGGACTCTTCTCAGTTTCTTGTTCTTGCATTCGTATTAGGCTTCCTCTGCGAATTGGGCCGCTACAAGGCTTCTCTGCAAGTTGGGCTTCTGCTGCGAATTGGGCCTTCCTACGAATTTGCCCCAACTTAGGGCCAGGATTTGACCTCGATGCAGGCTGAATCTGCGAAAGCCCAAAACATGAAAGTTGTAGCTTTCTCTCTTATCTTTCCAGTGAGTCTTGAATCAGCTCAATCTGAACTCGGATACGAGAGTTAGGCCCAAATTACTGAACGGTGCCAAAATTGTAAAAAATCATCCGATTTGTCTTGCTTTTTTCTCCTGATGCCTTCTTCCATGCCCTAAACCAGAATACAAGAATAATGAGTTCAATTAAGTACTAATTTAGTATAAAGGACTGAATATTTGGGGTTAAAAATATGACAATTTTTAGTCTCATCAAATCCCCCCACACTTTTAACCTTGTCCGTCCTCGGGCAAGATAGAATTCAAGCAAAAATAAAACAAGAACAAACTAGCTAGCCTACTGAATTTTAAACTCAACTCTCCTTCATCTTTCTCCACAAACATTCTAGGTTAACTATTACAAACCGTTGAATCAACACAACCAAGTCACACACGACTCATTCATCAGTCAATCCAATTTTTGCTACTGCAAATCAAGTAGTAAATCAGGGAAAACTGCTCTCTTTGTTTTTTTTTTTTTTTGGGGGGGGGGGTGAGTGCATTTTATGCTCCACCTCACTTTTGGATCACTCGGCCAGTAGGTGCATTTTATGCTCCGTCTTACTATTGAATTTGCTGGCTAGTAGGTGCATTTTATGCTCCATCCTACTATTGAATTACTTGGTTGGTAAGTGCATTTTATGTTCCGTCCTACCAATTGAATTGCTTGGTAAAATATTTACCCTATTTACTTAAACCTAAATTTAGGACTAGCTTAACTGGAAATGGCTTCAGATAAGTCACGTACCCCTTGATCGTACCTCATTACTAGGTTCACAAAAATTTTCTTAGAACATTGTTTCAATTGATTTCAAAAGAGTTGAGGTTTTGATTTTTTTTTTTAGCAAATGCAGCAAACACGACCTAAATCAAATTTTAAAACACAACCTAAATTCTAACCTAAAATACCCCAATTTTTTAATTTGGTCATTTTCTAATTGTAACGAAAAAAATTAATTTGAACCACATTTTTCCTCATCCAAGTCCCACTTATTAAGTCTTATAATATAAGGTATTAACTCCCATTAACATTTATTAAATGTTATTTTTAACTAAAATACCCCTATTTTTGAATTTTTTCCATTTCTAATTGTGATTGTACAAATTTAATTTGAACTACTACATTTCTCCTCATTCAATTCCCTATCATTAAGTTTAGGGTATTAACTCTCATTCTTTTATTGGATCCTATATTAATTAAACATATTAAAGAAAAATAATTGTTTGGTGGCAAGTCAACAATTCAACCTTTTGGGTGAAAATGTGTGAACCCTTGAAATAAAATATATATATATATATATATATATATATATATATATATATATATATGAAAGCATACAGAAGTATAAAAATACAAAAAGATTGAATAAAACTTTTGGGCACTTATCTAATGTCATATATTTATTATATTAAACAAAAATAAATGTAACAAATAAGAATAATTTTTATAGATATATAAATATAAAAAAATTTAGAAAATATTTTATTTACTATCATTATCATTATCAAAAATTCCCACGTACAAAGCACGAGCACACTTAGTACTGAGAAATTACTTGAAGAAATAAATTGCTATAAAGTTGACTGCTACAACATGATGCCATTTCTCACCATAAAATGAGTTTAAACTGTTAATCAACAACTGACAGCACATGATAAATGTTGTTTCTCTAGGGACAAAAAAGAGAAAGAAGCCATGCAGTGAACAATAAACTTTTCTCTTGGGAATTCTAGAGCACATAGAGCACATATCAGCAATATCTTTGGCAAAACTACCCCCACCTATATTCAATCTTCTCAGCCATCGGGCCTCCTTTTTCTTCATAAATCTTGAAGATACTAATAGCACACCTTCATCTTCAGCTGCAAAAATGCACTCTGCTTGATCCACCTAACTTTATTCCCAAAGATAGAAAATTTAGCTGTAATATGTGCTCAATTTAGAGAAAGAAAGCCCAAAACTCCACGGAGAGATAGACAATTTTCACCAACTACCCATTGCCTTCTAAAATCTAAAAATAACATCCTTGGTTTGCAAGAGAAGATCACAAAATGAATAAATTCAAGATAACTTCCTAAATATGCAAGGTCTCATAATTGAAGATATACAATCATGATCAAAATAAATTCCTCACTCTAAAAATACAAAGAAAAGCCTTCCTAGGTCTACAAACATGACAAAAAACTTACAATAAATTATTAGGAAAAATGTCCTAAAATTGGTGCTGATGAAAACCATATACCAGGAAGAATAGTTTCTTGGATACGAACAATGTTGCATATGGAAGAGTAATACTAAATTGACCAAGTAACCATAGATTCAGGGACTAACATGAACATAAACATTCACACTGGCAGGCACCACCCACCAACCTCTCCTTAGGGCTGCAAATGGATTGGGTTGAATAGGATATAAGTAGATGCAAACTTGATTCATTTATACTTGCGTCCAAATCGAATTTGGATTGCAATCGGATATTGAATAGCATTAATAAATTAAACTCTAAATGATGAAAATATTATATATTATTAATAAAATGAACTAAAAATAACTTTAAATTCATGAACAAAATGAATTGAAAATAACTTGCTTGAAACTTGAAACCTATGACTAGTGAAAACATAACATTAAAACCAATTTTACTAATTAACACCATAAATTTTATGTATATATAAGCATGTGTGTGTATAAATAAAATAAATCAAATCAGATCATATTAGATCAGATAGGGGTGGTTCCATCAATCCAATTATTAATGGATCGAATTCAAATTTAGATAAACAGATACTGTCACAGCCTTACCTCTGAAACACATGCACACACAATATCATTCCTCTGAAAAAAGTTTGGATATCTTGTAAATTTTATACTCATCATAAAGAACATAATTTTTATTGATAATAAAAAAGATCATAATTGCATAAACAAAGCTAAATATTCATATTTGTTATTACCCTATTGGACAAGATGGAAATCCCAATAAATGTCAGATGTCCATTTTTATAAAAAGAAAACAAGAAATTTGTAAACAACATGCATTAGTCTTCCTCAAGGAGCCTTGCTATCCAATGCATATCCAACAGGGACAGTTCTATCATTTACAAGAACCCATGCAACAGCAGTTATGGGGATACAGATACCATATAATGGTCTATTGGTACCATATATTGGCACATATCAATAAGAAACTAATCTGGGTCCAGATAATAGAATAGCAAAAAATGCCAAAAATCAACAGAATCAGATGATTAACCAGACAATGCAGATTACTTCTAAACCTATCTAATATGGATCTTTTCCAAATTAATACAGGAAACAATATGGTGTAGTCATCTGATCGTGCTGATCCCTGGCCTAACCAATCTATATGATAGGACCCATTTTAGTCATTGAGACACAAACATCCTGTACAAAACTCTTATGCAGGTACTGTAGCCCCAGATCTAAAACTTTTCCTGGATTTACTACACGGTATCCAATATGTAAAGGTAATTAAATGCTCCACTAGCACATTAACCTGCATTTTCCATCTTATAGTACATATGTACATCAACATTTGAAACGTATCATTATTTCAAAATGTAAAGGAGCATAGAGTTCAACATAATACAACTTTTATATTTTATACATATACGCACCCACTAATTCTTTTCTCAAGGATCAATACAGGTTCTTGTGCATATAAGACTAGTTTAGTCAACAACCTCCTGTGCCTCCTGCAGAAAGCAATAATTACAAGTTAAGAGATATTCTATAATAACCTAGAAATGTTTTTTAGTCTAAAGAGAAACTTTGAAGTTCCAGAAGCCAAGTAACTGAATGTCGAACCAACCAAAAACATGATAAAAAAGTTAGGAATCAATCGTAAGTTGTTGGAGAATTTACCAACGAGAAAAAAGAAGAAAAAACACAATCTATTTTATCCAAGAAATTTTAACATACATGTATATGCCAACTGCACAAGGATGTGGAGCCCAAGCTAGCCATCTAGGACAACTATATACAGAAGGGAGAGAAGTCAAACAAATCAGATGGTTTTCTGTTTGAACATGTTGGGAATGTTTTTATTTCAAAATTAAGCAGATTTCTTAGAACAGATCAATGGGTTTAAGGGAAAAAAAACTAGATTTAGATTTGAAAGCATCAAAAATAAATTTTTGGAAATTTAATTAATGATATACCAAGTAACCAAGTGTAACTCACCATCTTTGCTTGAACACTGCTCCATGTCAAAATTTTCTTGCTGCTGTTTCAGATCAGGTGGTTCATACCAATGCAAAGGATCTCTTTGTGATGAAGAGGAACATGAATGTGGAACAGAGAACTGAATCCCGCTGGTGCTCCTTTTCTTAGCCGAAGAAGATTCAGCAGTAGAGCATACATCATCTTCATCTCTCCTTGAGGTTTCGTATCTGTGGTTGTGATATGGTAGATGTTCCTGAACTGGCCTATCATCTTCCCAGTACTTCGATCTCTTCCGATCAGTAGAATCTTTAATGGATACTTTAAATGAAGGCACCTTCTGATCATGAGAAGAAGTGGTACTATATGGAGTTTTTTCTCTTACTACAACCCTTGGAATTGCCAAACTTTCACTAGAAACAGAGTTGTCAACGACAACTTCCATTGCCCCATTTGAATTTTTATCCTTTGCAACTGCTTCAGCTTCCCACATAAAAGATAGAGCATCCATCAAGCGCTGTCTTGCTAAATCTATTAGGATTATAGGCTTTGGATAGTTTAATCCCAGCTCCACCCCTGCAGCTCCAAGCACTGTCGCAGGAGCATCCCAAGGATGATGTATCCACTCAGTTGGCATTCTTGCCAGCTCAGGAAGCCAATGCCTCACATATTCACCATTTGGATCAAATTTGAAGCCTTGAACCTAGTGCCAAAAGTAAAAGAGATTAAAATAATCAAAATGCAAGCAAAGAGACATTTATAAGAGATGAATTTTCTGCTAAAATATCTAACTATGCACATTCCCTTCCCTATGAAACAGACCGAAATAACATTAGGCCATTGAGCAAGTATACCTATATTTACTATAAAAACTGAAATCTTCTTAAAATATATAAATAAATTCACTTAGAAATTGCTTCCAAGAGAGTGCTCTGTCATATTTTCTTTTCCAATATGTGGAAGTTGCAAAACCCACATTTTTCAAGTCAAAAAATTTACGATTTTCCCCAAAACAGTCTGTTGCATTATTTTGTAGTGCAACTGCCCCAATCAAGGCTTTTTTAAAACACAAGAACAGGCATACCTCTGGACTGTCCATACGGTCAAGCTCATGGCCATCCGGTAAGCTTCCTGAGATATACTGCCAACCAAGGATATCACTTTCCAGGTCAGCATCCAACAGTGTGTCCCAGAAATACTTCATCCCCCATGTCCATGGAAGTAGCAGGAACTTAACAAAGAAACTAGCAACAGTCACTCTGATCCTATTATGTATCCATCCAGTTGCCCAAAGCTCTCTCATTCCAGCATCCACCAATGGATAACCAGTCCGACCCTGTCTCCAAGCCTTAAATTCACCCTGATCAAGACGCCAAGGAAAATATCTCAAATTTCCAAGCAATGACTTCTCATGCGTAAATGGAAAGTTGAAACAGATGTGACGTGAATATTCTCTGAGCCCAATAGCCCTGAGAAAATGGTTCACACTCTCTTCCCCAATAGAGTTTCCTTCTTTCGCCCACAGTATTTGCTTCATCCATATACACTGGTAAACTTTTCTCACACTAACTTCTCCAAAATGTAGATATGGTGACAAAAGTGACGTGGAAGTTCCCTCCACCTTTGCTCTACTTTTTGAGTAGTCTAGCAGATGGTGATCAACAAATTCAATTAGAGCTTTATCTGCATTGCTCCAGCCTGGGGACCATGCTCTTGCCAATAAAGCATTGCTAGATTTTTCAGATTCATCTTCAAGACCCAACTCCTCAACTGAACTGCTTTGAACAAATCCTGACAATCAAGAAAAAAGTTCAATATCATGAATAAATTATCCCTCTGTGGTCACGACCACAAGATAAGTCATGACCAGAAGCAAATGTACCTTCCTAATCAACACTAGGTATTTTTATTAGATAATTGTATTGCGTATTTTCATGTCATGCCATATTTGGAATCAATGCCAAACTGCATTTTCTGAAAAAAGAACCTAAATAGCTTGCATGGCTAAAAGCCCACAACAAACCTGCAGGTGACACTAACTTCCATGGAGGAAGAAGCAAAGCAGGTTCAGTTGGCTCAAGTAAGCACCTGCTCCAGAACGCATTGAAGGTTGTAAAAGGGTGCCCCTTGTCATCATTTACCTCCCATGGTTCATACAACAAATCCCCATTAAAGCTTTGAACAGAAATTCCAAAGTTCGTCAGCTTCTCTTTGATGCTATGATCACGGGCAAGTGAAACAGGATCTGAGAAGAGAGAAAACCTTAGTGTTAAAAAGATAATACTAAAACAAAAAAGGCATCCACAAACTGGTTTGTTTAAAAAATCCGGAGAGGAAATGAAAATGTCAAAACTTGCATGCTTATTTATCACTAACTAGCTTGTAAGAAAACTTAACGCAAGTACAAGCAACTGGGAAAGATCATTTGTGGGTATTCCAGTTATAGGACAAATAGCTCTGCCAAAAATGCCAACAGGACAATTTTTGCAAATCAGCCAAGGGATCAATTCCAACTTAACTCAAAATAAGACTGTCAACTGAAATACCAATAAAAAGGAGGTTGTCAATCAAATAGTTCAAGTGCAAATTGATTAGAAATGCAGTTGACTATTCAAGACTTCAGTAATCAGGAATATCTCCTTGAGGTCAAAATGAAGATAGCATGAGAAGAGAACATGTTATATATATATATACCCTGTTTTTTTTCCCAGCCCTTAATCCCCCAGTAATTTGCAATATGTAATTACCAAATAACTCCAGGGAACTCTGAACAATAAAGTTGTAGCCTGAATAATGAAAATCCAAACAGAAAAAAACAAACTATGAGTAAACCTTTAACAATAAAGTTGTAGCCTGAATAATGAAAACCGTAGATTGAACCTTGAATGGGTCAGATTCATGTATCCCTTCTACTTTGACTTTCAACATTATGCACCATCCCTTGACTTCTCCAGTTTTCTATAATTTTAATGTTTATCCTTTTAAGTTTTCAGAAAAGCAGATGTATTTGGGTTTAACTGTTGCTCCAAGATTGTATAGTCATGCCACCTTTTCTCAGCAATGAATTTATATTGTTTTATAACAAAAGAAGAAAACTACAAGAAGGCACAGTCTTTTAAGAGGACCTCCAGAACCATTTAGGAGGACAACCCTCCCAACAAACCTGACTTGGCAACAACCTTGCTTTGGATTCAACTAGCATTGCAACTTGATTTCATTTCTTACAAATAGAAACAGAATTTTGCCAACAAAATGGTTAGCTATCACTAGATGTCTTTCATGATGACAAGAAACAGGTGGGCACACTCGAACAACCCTTGGCTGCGCTAATCACTGCCTCTGTGTTGCAGTTTATAATGATTTTGTCAAAAATTAGAGCCTTCTTAAAGATGTCCAAACCTATTTTGTGCATAGCAAAGAAAAAACAGGAAAATGAATCATTTATTTTCTTTGTTTGGCAACCACAAGTGTGAGAGATTCAAACAATTTATCCATTCTGCTATCTATCTTGCTACACTACCTTGTTCCTTTTGTATAAACAAAACGATCCTTTCATCTTGTGCTCCACCAAGTGCATTCTTAGCAGATGATCCTCTATTTATTTAAGTGAAAAGTGAAGGCCCGCCTTCCTTTGATGATTGAAGTAAAAATTTTTTCATTATAGAGGCTCCCTAGAAATAGAAGTGTATATATTAGCACGCTCCCTTGGCCATCAAGTAGGCAAATAAGAGTATGGAGGTTTGCCAACATTGTAGATCTTTTTCCTTACTTGGGTCAAGTCCTAGATATTTTCTGCAGGGACACCCAGAGGAACATTCAATCTTCGGACTAGTTGGAAAAAAATAGTTATAAATTTGCAAGCTTTTCACACAGGGAACTCTGCTCCTACCATAAAATTTTCTTTCAGGGTGATGCTTGCTTTTGGCCCATTGGAATTTCAACCTTCTACAATGGTTCTTGTTTCAACTTTTTGCCCTTTTAGGGTTTCCCCATTTCACGTTAACAAGGAACTCAATTAACAGAAAAGGAAAAGATAGTTTCCAAATTCTGGAATAAGTAAAGTCCAAATATGTTTCTAACATGAAACTAGAAATGTTCTCCATAAGAACGTGCAGAGATTCCTCCAGATGCATTCCTATGAAAATGAAATATTTCAAGCATGCAAAATATATCAAGCATGCAAAATGAAAATGAACTTAGTCTGCACCATTAGACTCTTTTATGCATCAAATATATCTATGGCAAAAGATTTAACATAGTTGAGTCGGGCCTCGTACTCAATGTATCTCATGTGAAACAATCAAAGACCACATCAGCTACATAGTCAAAGCAAGAATTTAGAGCATACCATAAAGATGGTTATAAACTACTTTTGTTGCTCCTACGGCCTCGATGCACCGCAAAAGAGCAGCAAGAGTGTTCTCAGCTTTGATCAACACGAGTGGGGCCCCAAGAGATCTCAAGGACTGATCGAGGTGGGCAAGAGACTGCTTCAGCCACCACCTTGAAACTCGACCGGGGTAAAATTGCCCTTCTTCCTTGGGGCACCAGATATAGACAGGAAGCACACTCCCTTCCCTAGCAGCCGAAGCTAATGCAGGATTGTCCTCAATCCTGAGATCCCTCCTAAACCAGACGATGGCCTTAGAATTGCTACCCATCTTCACAAATTCACAGTCGGGTCAAGTCATATAGATCCATGTAATGCTTCCGAGAGTCTTTCCGAAGTTATTTTCTAGAACACAAAACTCCGACAAGGGAAATTCCAACCACAATCACCCATTGATCGATCAAACACCAGATTCAAGAAGCACGAAATCAGAGAACCAAGAAAGCTTTTAAAGAAGTAGGTGGTCGGAAGCCCCAAACTTTTATCCTGCAAGATGTCAAAGTTGAAACAGTATTCCTCAAAACTTTTACTTGCTTACCAGAGTGCCCCACGAAGAAAACTTAAGCATACCCCCACCTCACTGAAACTGCATACGCTCCAAAAGCAATCCAAATCAAGCATCATAAAAACTTTCCCAACTGCATAACATGAGCAATCAAACTCCCACCTCCAAACCATCAATCAGATAGATAAACATAACAAAAACTGAAAACGCAAAAGATAATCTTCTCTTCCCTTCAGAAACCATCAACTAAAAATCAACAACAAACAAAAGCCCAAATCAGTTATACAAGAACGAACCAAAATCCTGGTGGGTTTTACGAATTCAGAGATCAGCAGCCCAGAAGCTCAAGGTAGTTGTTGAAGAGAATCCATGAAGAGAAGATTAAATTTCATGCAACCGTGGAGGTGGGTCTGAGACAGACATGATTCTTCTTACTTGTATATATTTAAATTGCCATCAGTTATCTCCAACAATCCATCGAACAGATTTACCTTCATCATATAAAGTCAAAGAATACTGTTGTTATTAGTATTATTAACGCAACTAATTTGGATTTGGGCCAAATCCTGTGGCACATCTCCAATGAAAGGACAGATACTGCAAAAGGTAAAAATAGGAAGTATTTCCGTCTTTTCACCCCTGCAGCTTTTGACTCGGGATTGAGGTCGCTCATCCAAAACGGAATGTGCTCAAATAAAATCACTCAAGCCTAAAAGAAAGCTAGCAAAGTAAAAGAATTCGCAAAAAAGTAAATCAGAGAGAGAGAACCTACAGAAGCCAATCCGTAGGGACCAGAACTGTCCACATACAACTTATACAGGGAATTCAACCAAAACAATCAATGAATTTTATATTGTCTTCACTCGTCTGTACTTAAAATATATGCACACATACGCAACCAAGGGATTTGCACTTCAAAGGTCCGTCGGAGTGGGTCTGAACAAGTCTTTTTCACCCATCCATGGGCCATGGCTGTCTGTAACATTCAACTCACCTGGGTTGAGTTGCCTCCGATTCCTGAAGAAATTTCTGTCTTTTCTTCCGTGCCTCCACGTCATGGGTCCACTCTAATTTGCGCCGTACGGGTTGAGAACGTCTCCATTTGCAGCGTAGGTGGAGCCGTGGAGGTGGTGGGGTTTTACTCTGTGCCACGTGATTGTCTGCCACACGGACCCACTCGAATCGCGGAAGAGACGCTAGTTTCGAAAAATATTCTGACACTTACACTCCCAATCCACTAATTTACTGCCACGTGCCCAAAGTAAATCTAAACCCACGTGAACGTACTTAAATCATATGAAATCGCACTATCCAGTATCTTCAGAGCACGTTAGCGTCAGTTCTGAACGTCGGTAATCTCTCTTCAATGGCCCGTTCTACAAGTGGGAATGGCAACGGGGCGGGGCCGCGAAAATCCTCATCCTCGTCCTCGTCTCCGTCCCCGCTAACGGTGTTATTTCCATCCTCATTTCACAGTATTCCCATTTTTCATGAATTTTTATAATATTAATCATTTTGTATTTTTATTTTATTTAAAAAATAAAAATAAAATAATTAAAATTTATAATCTTATTAAAAAATATTCAATCATATTTTTTAAAATATTAATATATAGATACATCTGATATATATAATGTATACATAATATGTATTAGTGAGTATCCCATGAGGTGAGAAGTGCTCTTCCTGTCCTCACCCCATCTTTGCTAATGATGACGAAAATTTTCTCATTCCCATGGAGGAAAATCATTCCCATTCCCTCCCCGTTCGAGGCCGATCCCCACGGGGATCAAGAAAATGGGGAAATTGCCATCCCTATATACAAGAATCTTAGTAGTTAATGACTATGGTTAAATCACTTAATTAATTATTAATCCATCTAACTTGTCCTTGTAAATTGTAACTACCCTTCTATGCTCTAAACTAAACAACATTCTTACATGCTCTAAGGAATGCATCCAATCAAGTACTTAATTTTAGGGTTTAAGGATTTAACATCTAATATGGGATGTATCGGTATCGACCCTATTCAGTATGCATTACGATTATAAGTGTATTCTGCCAGTCGTGAATATCAGGTCAATACGGGTCACGTATTGACCCGTATCGTATCGGTCCAATACAATGCGATATGGACAGATACACTTAAGAATTTAATATTTGGTTCTTTTTTTGTTAATGTTAAAAAGTAAGAAATAGTAAAATAGAAAATAATTGATATAATAATTAAAATAATATATATATTATGTGTCTTGAACTCTTGATTGATGCATTATCATAAAATTGTATGATATTTATGCATCTTGACATATTAATTGTAATATATTTTTTCATATATACCGTTAAAATATACATTTACTAAGTAGTTATACATTTTTTGTGGTTATTTGATTTTAAATTTGCTGTTATTAATATATTTATGAAATTTTCTATGTAGTTCTCTAATGTATCCAAATCTTTCGTCCATACCCAAATATTTCCAAAGCATATCTGTATCCGTATCCATATCCAAATTGTTTGATACAATACTTGATACCAATACTTTAATCATTGTTAATAAATAAAAAACATGTTATAGAGCTCATGACTTGCCCATCAAAATGCATTCCCTAATTATAACCTTCCATTTTTTTAATGAATCTTCTCCAATTTATTTATATATTTTGGGTGGAGGTGGGGTGGGGTTATTGCAAGTGAGTCCAAATCATCTGCCAACAAAATACGTTCCAATCCTCTACCAATATGATCTACACCACACATCTGATAGGTCTAACTTTTATAATGGGTCCCAACCACATGATGAGATGTGCGGTGTTACATCAAGTTTGTAGAGGGTTTGAACGAGTTTTGTTGGCAGAAAATCTCAACTCATTGCAAGCTGCATTTCTTTTGAGGATAAATTAAAATATAGGTTTGTCCAATTCAATTTCAAAAATAGTGGTAATTTGGACAACTTTTTTTTTTCGAAAATTAACAATTAAAACAATATTTCTTTTTATAAAGGTATACATAGAGTTGGAAACATAAAAGTGGGGGGTGATCAGAGTGAGAATGCTTTCTTTTCATGTATTAACTGCTAATCCCACCTTGTCTATTAGTCATTGGCTCTAAATTTGAAAAAGAATTATAGTGTACGGTTTTAATTTTTATCTAAAGTTCCAAACTTTCAATTCAATGAATGATAGGCTAGGTAATGGATGGCCATACAATTAAATGACGAATCTTCTTTGTATAACCTATTATGCCATGAAAACTATTAAAATATTACTTCTTTCAAATCAAAGTGTGTTGAGAAGGAAAGAGAAAGCATATATTCGGGTACAAAGCTTTACACATGGTCAAAAAAGGATTGGATACATCCAAAATAAACAAACAAACAAATAAGAATAATAGGGCTTTGCCTCTTGAATCCATCTTCTTAGAATCGACTATTCTAGAATGAGAATCTTCACCTCACACGAGTTGTGTTTGATAAGTGGGCAAATGAAAAGCATTCAAATGGATCAGTTCAAATCCTATGTTTACAAAGTGGGGATTTTCAAATTCTGATATCGGGGTCACATCTCTAATGTTTGGTTTGAAGGAAAAAGGTAAGGAAAGAAAGGAAAAAGTAGAGAAACTTATAAAAGGTTTGTAAAGATTTCCTACCTTTTACTTTTTTTCCTATTTTTTCCTTTAAATCAAACACAGCCTAACGGGTTCAATGTATGGCCATCAAGAGAGATCAGAGGAGAAATTGATGAAGTAACAGATGGCCCCCAAAGAGGCTATATTATGTACCCTTGAGGGAGGAATTAGGTTGAAAAGAGGATAGTTATAAAAAGTACAAATGAGGGTGTGGAAATTTTTTTGACTAAAATGCCCACATTTGTTATTTAATCCATCTCTAACCATGAAGGTTGAAAATGTAATTTCAATTAATGCTTATCACCTCATTTAATCCACTCTCATTAACTCTTGTATTTAAGCTTTTAACTCTCATTCTCTCACATTTAATCACATATTTAAGTTATTTTTTCACGGATAAATGCTATTAACTAGATCTATGTCCAGTACTTTTAACAATATAAACCCATATATTTTAAAACTTACTAAAAAATAAAATCATTTTTTATCCAAGTGGTGGCTAAGCAATTCAACTATCTAAATCAAATTGGCCAATCCATGAAGTCATAGTTAGATGATAAAATTTTAAATAGAAATAAATATAGAAAATTATAAAAATGAAGAAAAAACAAACACATTTATGATATTTTTTATTAATCAAATTAAAAAAAATACAAGTGTAATAAACAAGAACTATTTTTATTGATGATGAAAATGAAATGCATAATCTAAAACTAACCAAAAATGAAATTATTTCCCTATTTAGTAGAGATCAATAGTTCAACTTTTGGGTCAAACATGTCAACCTTTAATGTCATAATTAAATAATAAAAATTAATAAAATATAAAAACTAAAAAACTAAAAAAAAACATAAATTTACAGAAAAAAAACATTTGGGCACATGTATAATATCATATATTTAATATATTAAACGAAAAATAAGTATAAACAACAGTATTATTTTTACACAGAAATAAAAAAAAATTATTGAAAAATTTGAACACATCTTACACTACTATTAAAAATGAGTAAAATTGTAGGACTTTCTTTTGACTAAAATACCCATTTTTTTAATTTAATCCATATTTAATTGTGAGGTTCAAAATGTAATTTGAACTATAATTGTCACTTCATTCAATTCTCTCTCTTTGAATCTTACATTATTTTTTCATAAATAAAAAAAAAGTATACACTAAGCAAATAAAACATTACAAAAAGAAGAGCCAAGTAGGTAGGTCTAGCAATGATACCCAAAACTTTGTAGCACAATATGAGGTGCTTACATAATCATATTCAAATTTTATAATTTGCATCTAATTAATAGTGAAAACAAAAAAAATATATATATAAAAAAAAAAATACATGAATTTTATAGAAAATTTTGGATACATTATTCTTATCATTATCATCGTCTAGAATTGCCATGTGCAAAGTAGGGACAGGAAAAATAATTTCCCCTATAATTTCACTTTAGCAAAAAACTCCCCTAAACTTTTAAAGAAATCAACAAAAACCTCCATTCTGTGAATGACCCAAACAGAAAACGTTAGACCAATGCATCAATTTTCTCCAAATTCCCATTTTACCCTTTTGTAAATTAATTTGCATATAGTTTTACTAAAATACCCCTCTCGACCTATTATCCTCTTTTCCTCTCCTGTTGACCTCTTTTCTTATCCAACTCCACTGTCTGAAGAGAGGGAATTTAGCTCTTTCAACCTTTCATCCAAACTCCATCAAAAGCCCCTTTCGATCTTTCATCTCAATCTAACTCGCTCCTTAGGACGAGCACTGTGTTCTCTTGTAATTCCTGTCTTGTGCCCTGTGCAAAGATGCATAGACGGCTGGTGCAGGCATAATGAACTTAGGCGAGGGATTTGTTC